GATAGATAGATAGATAGATAGATAGATAGACAGACAGAATAAGGATGTAAAAAAAATTCCATTTGGATTTCATGTTGATTTTAAAGGACATCATTTAAACGTATTTTAAAGTAACTTGTGTATACATTTTTAATAAAGTAAAACGGATCGACTCTCACCTGGAGGGTCATCTTTTTCCGGTCCACATCCGCTGGAGTCCACTGTCAGATTTTCAAAAGACTAAAATAAAAGACACAGGAGACAATAAAAAGACAGCCGAACGAACAAACAATCCAAGACAGAAAAGGAAACACGTTTATCCATATCTGCTTTATCTGAGAGCACTCAGTCAAATCACAATGCCAAAATGTCACTGGCTTTTTGCATGAGATATATCACAGGGGTGGTCCAAACAGGAAGAGCGCTCTTCTCCAAAACAGACCTTGTTTCTATTTTTCTTTACTGAGCTTTGCACTCTTTGACCCCCATCTCTACAGCGCATAAAGAGGCCACAGCCTTCAGATTCTGACGTGGATTTCAACCACCTGTTTATCGGACTGCTTTAAAGTGTATGATGAGGAGGAAATAGCGGGAAATCTCACCCTGCTCCTGCAGGCCTGAGGAAGCCCGGAGGCTGAGCCGTTCTCTACATCTCCCATAAGGAAGTCAGACACTCTGAGGAAGACAAGACAAAAACTTACTCAGCATTAAAACAACACATACGCAGCAAAACAGCTCTGTTCCAAAATAATCTATTGCGATACTCTGCTAACTTCTGCTCACATAGGTAGCTGCCTTCTAATGAAGTTTCTAATGAAGAATAATTCTTCTAATGAAGAATCCTAACAGTCATGGAACCTTGTAAGTGAGTGATTTGTAACATTCTTCATAAGCAGCAGCTTAATACAATTAGCATTAGTTTTGATATTAGCATGTAGCTAAGCTAACCCTGCAATATTCTTACTCTTCAATACAGACCTACTAAAAATATTCTGAGAAAAAACAGCAGAGATGCATTTTATAATAGTCACGCTACTATTAACTTGAGTGCTGTGTTTTAGAATGCTTTGTTATGCACAAGACGCTGCAAGAGACGCAAGCACAACAGTACCTGTCCAGTGCAGAAAAACAATGGAAAACAGTGCAGTGAAATGCAAAAACATGCACTGTGAACAGAACTAACCATCATGAAACCTCACAGATGTTTTGGAATTTGGATTTGGAATACTTTACATACACAGCGACTCAAAGATATAACGATAAAATTAGCACAGAACTTAATTCTAACAGGGTTTGCTGTTAGCATGTTGCTAAGCTAACAGTGCAGTGCTTCAATTAGCATAAAAATACATAATATACAAAAACATTCTGTACAATAATCCATTTTATTTGACCCTGAATTATTTTTAGGAATCTTTTCAGTGCTTAATGAAATAATAGGTAACATTAATAATCACTTTGCAAACAATGCAATGCTCTCTTGGAATTTGTTTTAAAGGGGTCATATGATGCGATTTCAAGTTTTCCTTTCTCTTTGGAGTGTTACAAGCTGTTCGTGAATAGATATGATCCCTGAAGTTGCAAAGACTAAAGTCTCAAAACCAAAGAGATATTCTTTATCAAAGTTAAGACTCTGCCACACCCCCCTAAAACGGCTCGTTCTAACACGCCCCCACATATCTAGGTCACTATGTGGGAATATTTGCATAATGCGCCCAAATGTGAATGCAAAGAAAGAAGGCGTGGTTTCAGTAACCGCAGTTAGTGTTGAAGCAGCCATGTCAGGGAGACACTGTGTGTTTTTAGGCGAAAGCAAAAGCACTTTATTTGGCCTTCCGAAAGTAGATGCATTTAGGAATCTTTAAGATTACTTACAACAGAACAGCAATGCATTTTATGGACGACCGTTTCAATGATCTTTAAAAAAGCATCATATGACCCCTTTAAAAACTAATTATCTTGGAGGTAGTGTCATTAAGTTTCCATTTGAAATAGCTTTTGTCTATGAAGCATTAAAATGCTGAAGTTCACCAGGGTTTGGAACAAAGCTAATGACTCACACACTATCATGCACAGTCCTGACGTTAAAAACAACAAGCAACACCTAAACCACATTGAGTCTGTGTTATCTTATAAAACAGACATGAGCTGAACACACATTCAGCTTGCTGACTCAGGGAGGTCACTATCCTGTGTGCAGATGTTTCAGATGTTTTTTTTTTTTTTTTAATGACTAATCCGAGATTTATGAAGAGAAAGAAGGCCAGTAGATGTCCAGGTATGTCATTCCAGCAGATTTCACCCGTTATTTACCTAGTTTCCCTTTCTATCTGGTCACCACTGGTTTAAACTCGACTAACCACTGAATCATTACAGTCTCAGTTTGGCGTTCTGGTCCCAATCAACTGAAAAGCTTCAGGAACTTTCAAAAACCCTTAATAAAATCATAGTGTGGCTAAAAAGCAAATGAAGAACCTCCCTTTAAAGACACAGTTCCTTGAAGCGAAACACTTACCGACCACCACACTTCCCATCCAGTTAGCACACACCAAACGGCCAGGAAAAGACAGATGAAAAGTCAAGATCTAATAGTTTCTGGGAAACTTTTTAGGGTCTTTCCTCAAAATACTCCAACAAACTTTGCTTGAAGACAATCCTGGACTAAATGGAAAAACCAAGGCAGTCAGGTTGACCTTCTTGACCGTTTGAGATCTTCCAAAAACGTTTTTAGTTTCCCAAGCATACGTGATGCGGATCAGAAGCTCCTTCTACCACCGTTTACGAAGTTCTGTCTGGTCCTCACGTCCTCCTGTCCCTCTACATACCCCTCCCCAACAGGACATCCTGAAGCTCGCAAGAACACAATGGCAGCCCTCACCGTCCACACACAATCCAAACGTGGAAGTTACATCATCAAGCAAAAATGGCATTGTTTTTTCGCGTTTTACCCCCTTCTCTCTGGGAAATCAGGCACCAGTGAGGCTTGCTAATCAATTTTGCCTCTAAATCTAGAGGGAGGAACTGATAAAACACGGATGAGACCAAACATTGAGCCCCTGGATGTTTCCCACAGAAGATACCAGACCTATCTGTTCAGATAAGGATGACACTGACACGTCCTCACATTAGAGGTGGTTAAAATGCACCTAACTGGGTGTGAAGAAGAATTCGATGGATTCGTCTCTGTAGGCTCTGGGAAGTAGGAGAGCAGCACTTAGTCAAAAGGTCCCAATGAAGGGGGTTTGGAGCTTCCCTGAGGGATGTACCTGTAGGTGATGAAAGGTAAAGAAGCACAGGGCTGATGGGAAGAAACACACCCCCTTTTTGTTGGCAGCCCATGAGAGATGCCGTACTACAGAGAAACTTCAGTTACTTTTGAAATCTAATACGTGCATGAGAAAGCCTGAAAGTTGCGTAACAGCGATGCGGGACGAAAAGAGGAAGGTGAAAAACCTCCTCGTGGCTGTTGTTCAAGAAAACAAGCTTTATTTGTATTTCCTCAGAACAGGACGGTACGCTGAGCGCTAAAATCATCAAGGACACGTCGCACAAGGTTTGTCAACATCAGCACATATCTTCGCATCAGGATATTCGGCTTTTGGGGAGTTTGTATTGCGATGTTCCCATAACATTCTGGACCGCAGTCCTCCCTAGAGTCTCCGTGAAGGTTTGCCTAAACTCCTGCTGGTCCCCATCTCATCCTGAGGCCCAGCCAGGAGGGTCAGTGTCACATTTCTGCAGCGGACGCATGTGCCGGGCTGAACATGAGAGACTCAGGCCTGTTCAAACTCCACAGTGAAGTCCTTATCATGCTTGGAGCTCCCCAATCCGGATATTCAACTTTCTCATATTCTAATCTCCGAGCCACAGAGCTAGAACACTGATTATTCAAGTGTCACATTACAAAGGTTTCAGTGTGTGTGTGTGCGTGTCTGAGTGAGAGAGATTGGAAAGAGAAGGCAATATTATAAGCATTTTGCACCTCTAGTGGTAGAAGCTGGATTTGTGCATTGATTTAGAAAAGTTTTTTTTTTGGTACATTTGAATAAACACAGAAACATACAATATCAATGTGTACAAAAGTACAATATAATATAATATCATATCATATCATATCATATCATATCATATCATAATTATCAGGATTTTCAAAAACCAACTTCCACAACATTTTCATATCAGTAAATTGTGGGCTTTTAAAATGCACAATTTATTTATAAATGTAATCAATAATATAATATAATTAATATAATATAATATAATATAATATAATATAATGTTTTAATTCTTATAATTTATTATACTTACAATAAACTGAAATTTCATCAATAAAATCTAAATAAGTCTATTAATTTAATATTCTGATAATGATATGATATTACCTCAAAGGATTCCTATACATTCATAAATATGTAAAGTTTAAGATGCTGCCAATATATTGATATTGCAAATTTGACTATTTATGCACACATACAAAAATTTGTGTATGCTAGAACCAACAAAACTTAAGTGAAAAGAATTAAATTACACATAGAAAACTCTCTAGCTGCACAGAAAGAGGAAACCAAAAGGTGCGCATAGCAACATAACTATTTAGAAAGAGGAAACCAAAAGGTTTGGAGATGTTTATACAGAAACATCACATGACCCGCTATGAGCCCAACTGTCAAAACAAAGCAAGGCATTTAGCTTCAGTTCCCAATAACAGTGCAGAGTGCAAGTAAAGTGACCCCATAATAAACCAAGACCCGTCATTTACCAAGTCCTGCTTCTGTTTGTGTTAACAAGTGAGAACCTGCAGCCATTTCAACACTGAAAATATTGACATCTCTGATGCTACACATACCAGAAAATGTGGTTAAATTAATATTTGTATATGAAATTAACATTGACACATATGCATGCGCCCAAAAAGTACTTGCACACTTAAGCAACACTCAAAGTGTCTTTGATTTAGATAATATAATATCCAACTAAGTAGCTTCTAAGACAGCACAATCAAAACACTCACAAAAAAGAGTTTAGATGCTATGCAGATACTTCTGAGATTCTTGTCCACAAGCCAAGTGAAGCATCGTCATGCATGGAGATGCTAATCTCTCACCGTGGAACCGAGTGAAATGGGATTCCTCTTCTCTGACAAGGACATTGTACTCCAAGCAAACACACAAACACACTTGCAGACATGCATTGTTGGGCTTTTCCAATGTCAGCCCTGTCAGAATCTTGAGAAACAATGTCTCTTTTTAAAGATCTCATTTTTGCATGCATCTCAGAGAGCTTTGTGTACATTGCTGGAAAATTACCTCTTGCAATTTTGGGTTTATCATTACTAATAACAATTTTGAGAGGGAGTTTGAGGAACAAGATTTCAAGCGAACAAGTGTCTCTCCCTCATTCTTCTACACTGTGTCATATTAAAGTCAAAGGCGGCGAGTGAGACAATGCTTTACCTTTGACCTTTGCGATGAGGGTCCCGGCCGCGCTGAGGATCTCCACTGAATTCAGGGAGTGATGTTTGGAAATCACAGATTTTAATACACGCAACAGCTCTCCTAGACGCTCGTGAACCACCTGATGCAGACAGTCCTGGTGATCTGAAACACACAGACAGAAGAACTACAGTCAGGAAAAACAAAACAAAAATCACACTAAACTTTTACCTTTTTTTTTTAATTCACACAATTTGTGGCATTGGTCATGTCTGCAAGCATAAGTGGTGTAGGACAATTACACACTATAGTTTCATATTGGAGAGCCATTTTGGAGAGTATCCACTGAACGTAAACAACGTAACACGTGGATACGTTGTTTACGCTTTGATCTGAACGAAAACAACGTATCCGCGTTGCGCAGCTGACACACAACAGCATACGTTGTTTACGTTCAGTGGATACTCTCCAAAATGGCACCAGGGTGACGCGGAGGAGACGAATTGCTGAATAAAGTCATTATTTTTGTTTTCTTCACGCACAAAAAGTATTCTCGTAGCTTCGTAAAATTACAGTTGTCACACGGATTATTTTAATGATGTCCTTACTACGTTTCTGGACCTTGACCGTGGTAGTATCCTTGCTGTCTATGGGAGGGTCGAGCTCTCGGAATTCATCAAAAATATCTTAATTTGTGTTCCGAAGATTACGGGTTTGGTACGAAACAAGGGTGAGTAATTAATGACAGAAGTTTCATTTTTGGGTGAGCTACCCCTTTAAAGTTAGGCGTTTGTTCGGTGCCACTTTAGATTAGGGAACACTATTCACTATTAACTAGTTGCTTATTAGCATGCATATTACAAACATATTGGCTGTTTATTAGTACTTATAAAGCACATATTAATGCCTTATTCTGCATGACCATATTCTAAATCCATCAAAGGGACATTTCACCAAAAAATGTTCATTTCTGTCATCATTTACTCACCCTCATGTTGTTCCAAACCTGTATGAGTTTCCTTTTTCTGCTGAACACAAAAGAAGATATTTTGAAAAATGTTGGCAACTAAACAGTTGCTAGTAGCTACTGACTTACATAGTACTGAAAAACAAATATTATGTAAGGCAATGGCTATCAGCAACTGTTTGATTACCAACATTCTTCAAAATATCTTCTTTTGTGTTCAACAGAAGAAAGAAACACATACAGGTTTGGCACGACATGAGGGTGAGTAAATTATGACAGAAATTTAATTTTTTGGTGAGCTATCCCTTTAACCCTCTACTTACTATCCATATTTTAGCTAAATTGAGGGAAACTCTTAGTTAATAGTGAATGTGGTCCCTAAAATTTTACTATTCACAACTTTTAAATATGAGCGAATGTTTTTTAGCAAACGAAATGTTCTAAAAGGACACACTAGACAAACAAATACAAGTGCAAATACCAGACATCTAAGTTCAGCTTAAGTAACACAACAATCATTATCATGTGCCATTTTGACGCCTGATGCCAACAAACACGTCATCAAACACTTAACATGACCTGACGGAGGAAGAGCTTAAACTCATTCTGAATGAATCTTTTGTTTAGATTAGGAACCTGCGGTCTGCATCAACACAATAGCATGAACCTGTCTGATCACTACATCAATGTCACCACATCTCATTTCCTCAGACTGAATCAGGGCTTGAAATATAACCATTTCTGATTCATCTGCTTTCATTATGTAATTTCAGCCTGCTGTCTGGTCAGTACAAGCACTAACAGGCCAACCGAACACGAGTGCTGTCTACTTTCCAGACGCATTCCATACAGCTTCTTTTGACCCGTTTCCCCCTAGATTTGCAACTACACACAAACACAAACCCACACACTCTCTTACCCATAAACACATTCAGGGGCACCGTGTTCAGTCGCACCCTCTCCCGGCTATCAAAGCCACATTTGTGCTGACGGTGGCCTCTGGATTACCCGGCGCATGGAAAAGGGGATCAGGGAGACTTTACCCCCTCCACCCTCTTTTTTCGCTCCATCTCTTTTCCGAAAAGCAACAAAAAGAGCCCGCGGTGAAACTAATGCTGCCGTGGATGGTGACTACCATGGAAATGACAGCTGCTTTCTGGCCTCAGAGGGCCAACGCTGTCTGACCACATTATAGTCATGCAAGGGGAGTCACAGGAAAACAATTTTATCATCATACATTAGTGATGCACTGCTATTGAAATAAGGGATGATCATTTTCATGTTACAGCCAATAACCATTAAACAGTAATATCTGCTATTTCTACAACATTATAAAAAAAACTAAAATAAAAAACTACAAGTCAGGTTAGGCATCACAACATGATAATATACATTGTAAAAGACTACAGAATAAATGTAAAAAATATAAATCTGCTACAGAAAAGAGAGTACAGTTTCAAAAAAACAAAAAAAACTGAAATAGTGAATTTCCTAACATTAGTTACTAGGATAGTTATAATACTTTTTTTTCCTCAATTCCTCATACTGTAAATGTAAACCATTAAGGTGACACACTAAGTAAGTAGTACACTAAAAATAAAATTAAATAAAATAAATGTTTAGCTGCCAATATATTTCATTTTTGGGGGTCTTTGGCATCAAAGCATTTGAAAACCCCTGTGCTAAATAACTACCCACTGCATGCCAAGTTCATAAAGTGACATATCTACATAGCACTGACATTCACCCCTGCTGCTCTTACCAGCATGAACAGCAGGTCTGCCACTGTCCTGTAGCTTTAGCACTCATTCATCTTCATCAAGTGTCATGCATAACCACTTCCTGATGAGATAACCTGGTGCTCTCTTATGAGAACTGAACCAAGCTTTTGTTTCAATCTTCTGCAGCCAATCTTCACCAGCTCCCCTCCTGTTCGAGAGAGGCCAACACTGCGCTTCTGACCCAGAGACCCCTCGCCGTGAGTGCTATTACACATCTGATGAGGTTGTTGCATGTGGGAGTGTGCAGGATGCATTCTGCTACAGCTATATGTCTTACTCCGAGCTGTGGGAGAGCAGAGCGGTTACTCTAGGTGATGCTGAAGTCACCATGCTTTCCTAGTTAAATCATCTACAGTTCAATGAGTCAATGAGGTCTCTATAGAGTGTTTTATGTGTGTAACTGAGGAACAATAATATTTATACTGAAAATGTCTGAAGACATTTTTGGAATTTAATACGTTTTGATAATTTTGACCTCAGGAAATTGAATTAAAATGACAGAAAGCTGAATTTACCTAATTTCAAGTCAGAGACTCAGAGAAATTTAACACAATCAATGAATTCTGGAAAATGAAGTGTGCTTCCACCCTGATGCACATAAGTTAATTTAATAAACTTAACATACATATAATTTATGTAATTTTATATATATTATAGAAAATTGTTATATAAAATAATATACAATTATTATTATTAGTAATAATAATAATAAACAAATACACATTTCTATCTACCCATCTATCTTTTATATATATTATATAAAATTATATTATATCAAATTATATTAATTAAATAATAATAATAATTGGAAAAAATGTGCATCACAATTTTTAATCAACTTTTAAAGAATGAGTGGTTTCTGCTGAAACGAAAAAAATAAATAAACAGTCAAATCTATTACTTATCCATCCATCCATCCATCCACTCACCCATCTATCTATCTATCTATCTATCTATCTATCTATCTATCTATCTATCTATCTATCATCCGTCTGTCTATCCATCCATCCATGTCTACATAAGCTTGTCTTGACAAATTTTCCTTTTCTAGTTAAAAAGTACAGCTATATAAATGTATTTGAATTATAATTCCACTTCCTTACATTCAAATTTGAATTCATTACTCGAACTAAAGTTTAAAAGACACTTTCAAATCAATTCTAAACAGTGCACATCCCTGTTTTGCTCAGGAGCGAAAACTCAAGACCTCAGAGTTAAGTATGGGACTAACTAGCCGACTAAATATAATCTTAATCTTAATCACCACAAATAACAGTTCTACTAGTCTGCAAAATTTGTGACCCAGAAAGTTCCTTGCTATATTAGGCTTGCGTGTCAGACCGAGAACATTTACCAAAATAAATCGTCCATCAGTTTGGCAACAATGATCTTTTTTACTCAACTATCAAGAGAAACAATCTTGTGAAGAGAGAATGAGAGCGGACAGGGAGATATACGGAGAAACAGAAGGAGCACAAGAGGATTTCACACCATGATGTGAAGACGCAGAGTATAATAAGCAGGTGGGTCAAAGGTGACCGCCAGCCAGCCCAAGCCTAAATCTCTTAATTGGTGGGGGTCAAATTAAAAACCCTCTTTTAAAGACATTACATTTTGAATGACAATAACACAAACACAAAGCATGGCCCCATCCCCACACAGCGCTCCCATTCACATGCACACACGGTCACGCATCCCGAAAGGACGGGGGGTTCAGTTCTGCTCGGTGTGGCTGAACAGAGAGAATAGAGGCCACAAGACCCAGGGCCATCAAACACTTTAAATGGCTCTCTGCTCGTTTGGGCCGGTCCTAAAAAACAACCAATTAGCACAACTGAGCGCCGGAACAGTGGGAAGGATGGGAAGTTGATGATTTTAACCCTGTGCTTCCCTGTTTGGGATGGTTACAATAGCACTGAGTTTGTTCTCACCAGGGCCAAACACGATCACTCACCAACAGATTGATATAGCAGGGAAAAGACCCCTCTCCGGTGATGACGGGAAACCTTGTTTAACCAAGAGCGAGCTTTCAGCAGGACAAAAAAAGCCCTTCTGATTGGGGGAACCTTCCTTTTGTCACCGGGGGCCATTTGCAAACAGTGGGGCTGTCTTCTTTGGGGCCTGTGGCATGAGGCATTTATGGAACAATAAATCTGGGAGGCTTTTAGAAGCGAAAGATGGGACTGTGGACTCTACAGGGCACAGAAGAGCAAAGGAAGGGGGAAGTTGGGAATGTTTTCCTGGATCTAAACACCTGGGTTAAGACCTGGGCGACGCGTGTTCCTAGGAATAAAACCGCCCTGCAAACCCACGCTGGACACATTGGCACATTTTTATCCCGTTTGCGTCATGGAAACCCAGCATTCCAGGATGGCGAGGCCTCGTCAAGTGTAGGAGTGGGAAAAGAGGGGCCACAC